AGACACACACACACACACACACACACACACACACACACACACACACACACACACACACACACACACACACACACACACACACACACAACACACACACACACATACATGTACACAAAAAAGACAAATAAAAAAAATCATAGTTATTGCTGATCCTGGGGATTAACCATTTTCTGTAATACTTTAGCTGTTCATAGAAAACAGATAGAAAATTGAGGAATACTTCAAATCTATGTACAGTCAATCTCTCTCTCTCTTTTCCATATTTCTGTCTCGGTAAGGGTCCAGTTACATATAGCCATCTTTTATAAGGAACATAATATGTGCAAAGGGTAGAGCAAATAAATCAAATAAACTTATCTTCTATGTACTTCCGTCGCAACACAAGTGTCAGAGAGCCCGAAATGTAAAACTGAGATTTACCCCTATCTCTTCCTATCGGAGAACTAAAACCGAATTATAGTATGCAAAAAACTTTTATTAAAAAAATCATATACATTGTGATTTAATGAAAAAAGTGTTTAGTAAACCAAGTTAATTACCAATCTCTAGATCTAAGGCTGCATTCAAGGTCAAAGATTACACAATAAGCTGATTGTGAATTTTGATCGACATCAGCGGAACTTGGAGAACTGAATACGGCATGCCAAGATCCTGCCTAGGTTACACAGGATCCTCCAGCCTGTAGGAGTTAGTGCGGGGTCAAGCAGGGGTCGTCATCGATGTAGTTGATTTCAGGGACAAAGTTTAGTCGACTAGGCCAAGACGACGCTGATAGGGTAGTAGTTCTGGGAGTTGGACGACTGGGAAGCGCGCTCGTTGGTGTACCGGTTCTGGCTGCTGAACTGGTTCTGGTTGTTGTACTGGTTCTGGTTGTTGTACTGGTTCTGGGTTGTGTACTGGTTCTGCCTACTGTCCTGGTTCTCGTACTGATTCTGATTGGTGTACTGGTTCTGGGTTGTGTATTGGTTCTGCCTGGTGGGTTGTTTCTGGTTGTACTGGTTTTGCCTGGTGTATTGGTTCTGGTTGTTGTACTGGGTTTGACTGTTGTATCGGCCCTGCTGGTTGCTCTGGTAGCGTTCGCGGTTGAACTGGTCATTGGAGTACTCCCTTCTTTGGCTGCGATTCTCACTGTTACTCTGACTGTATTGGTTGCGGCCTGACGTGTACTGATTGGAATTCTGGTTGTACTGATCCCGGTTTTGGGTGAACTGATTGGAGCTGCTGCCATATCTCTCGGTGTATCGATTCGCCTGACCAGCGAATCGGGTGTTCTGGTTCTGTCCGCTCAGCAGATTCTCGTTGAAACGCTGGCCGTAGTTTCTGGTTCTGGCGAGGGCGCTCTTGAGGAGGACTCCAGAGCCAGGCGCGGTGTTGAGTTCAGGAGTGAGCTGAGATTGCTGTCTGGCATTCTGGCTCTGGAACTGCTGACGACCGTTTTGCAACTGAAGACGATCTGGCTGATTCGAAAACTGCAAATTATTGTTCACTTGGTTCTGGAATTCCTGACGATTCAGTTGGTTCTGGAACTGCTGACGGTTACTCTGTTGGTTCTGGAACTGCTGACGGTTACTCTGTTGGTTCTGGAACTGCTGGCGGTTCAGTTGGTTCTGGAACTGCTGGCGGTTACTCTGCTGGTTCTGGAACTGGCGGTTCAGTTGGTTCTGGAACTGCTGACGGTTTAGTTGGCTCTGGAACTGCAGGCTGTTACTCTGCTGGTTCTGGAACTGGCGGTTCAGTTGGTTCTGGAACTGCTGGCGGTTACTCTGCTGGTTCTGGAACTGTTGGCGGCTCAGTTGGTTCTGGAATTGCTGGCGGTTACTCTGCTGGTTTTGGAACTGTTGGCGGTCACTCTGCTGGTTCTGGAACTGCTGGCGGTTACTCTGCTGGTTCTGGAACTGCTGGCGGTTACTCTGCTGGTTCTGGAACTGCTGGCGGTTACTCTGCTGGTTCTGGAACTGCTGGCGGTTACTCTGCTGGTTCTGGAACTGCTGGCGGTTACTCTGCTGGTTCTGGAACTGCTGGCGGTTACTCTGCTGGTTCTGGAATTGCTGGCCGTTACTCTGCTGGTTCTGGAACTGCTGGCGGCTATTCTGCTGGTTCTGGAACTGCTGGCGGTTATTCTGCTGGCTCTGGAACTGCTGGCGGTTCCTATCATTCTCGAATTCACTGCGGAGCTGGCTCTGGCTGCTGCTACGCTGTTGATTCTGCAAATCGTTTCGGCTGTATTGCTGAAGTTGGCCGTTGCTTATCTGGCTCTGAGTACTGTCAGAAAGGTCCTTGCGGACGGTGGCCTGGAAGCCTGTGCCGGGAGCCACCGAGTAGTCGACCACGCGCAGAGATCCATCGGGGTCCATGACCGAGTACTGACCCACGACCACGTCACCTCGACGTTCCTCTCGGGCAGACTTCATGTCCCCGGTCGATCTGGCGTCGACCTCGTAAGCCCAAGTATACTCTGGGTTCTGCAACATTCACATATGATCAAAATAAAGCAGAAACAAACTATCAGGAAACAAATTGTTAACTATATTATATATCCATGAAACAGCGGGAAACTAACAGGATCATTGTATTCGACTTGGCCGAGACTGTATTGTGTTGCCAGCTCTTCCGCGCGTTCTTGATATGCCTCGGAGAAGGCTTGGTGGTTCTGGAAGAGTTCTGGGGAAGGCTGGAGTCCCTGCTCCACCTCCACGCCTCGTGAATCCAGGATAAAGGAGCCATCCTGCGCCCACGCTCGCGAGGCTACGCTCACACATACCAGGATTGTTGCAACCAGCTGTCAGGAAAAATAGGTCATAAAGCAACATTGATTAAAAAATCTGTGTATCCATAACTCTTAAGAATATTAGAGGAGACCATGATTTAAGCAAAGAGATATATATATGTATACATATGTGTATATATATGTGTATGTATGCATGTACTTATGTATATATACATATTTGTACAAACACATACATAAACACACACACTCACACACATACATACATACATATATATATGTATATATATATATATATGTGTGTGTGTGTGTGTGTGTGTGTGTGTATGTATATGTATATGAACACACATATCCATATATGTGTATATATATATGTATATACTTTAAATGAATAGCCAAATAAATGAATGAATAAATAGATAGATAAATGAATGTATATATGTATGTTTGTGTGTGTGTATATATGTGTGCACGTATGTGTGTGTATATAAGTTCACACACACACAAACACACACATACACACATATATACATATATATATATATATATATAACCACTACCACCCTTACCTTCATCTTGTAGATCCCAAGGTAGAATGGCACACAGGGAGAGTTCTTCTCCAGGTTTATATAGGTCTCATAACAGTAACTCTACACCAGCCTTGATACACCTTCTCAACTTTCGTACTACAGGTTGTGGTTGTGTGATGTTTGATTCATGGAAGATTGTGTAATTTGTAGTGCTTATTATCATTATTATGAAAAGACTATTCTGGGCTTTTTAAACGCATGTACACAACGCACATGAATATATGATACCAACATTGAAGTCACGGAAAATATTCGTCAGGGGTACCTTTCGGCCTTGAATTCTGTTCGTGGGATATATAGGAGTGCTTAGGACTCGTCTAGGGTGCTGGTCACACCTGATTTAGCTTGGAAAGACCGGGTGGCGGATTAGGCAGCAGCGTGAAATATTAGACACCCTAGGAAAAGTTAATATACTGGATCCTTATGGAAGTATATGATACCTTGCTTCGAAATGAGCAATGTATATATATATGTGTGTGTGTGTGTTTGTACACACACACACACACGTACATCTGTGTGTATATATATATATACATATATATGTATATGTATATATATACATGTATATATATATATATATGTATATATAAACACACACACACACACACACATACATATATATACTCATATATATATACAAACACACACACACACACACACACACACACACACGCACGTACACACACACACACACACACATACATACACACGCACACACACATACACACATATATATACATATATATATTTTTACATATATACACATATACATATATATATATATGCATGTTTATATATATATATATATATATATATATATATATATATATATATATATATATATATATTGTGTGTGTGAGTGTACACATACATATATATATATATATATATATATATATATATATATATATATATATATGTATGTATATATATGTATATATAAACACACACACACACATACATGCATATATATATTTACTCATATATATAAACACACATACACATGCAAACACACACACACACACACAAACACACACACACACACACACATACACACATATATATACTCATATATAATAAGTGTGTATATATATATATAAATTTGTATATATGCACATATATATGCGTATGTATACACACATACACACATATATATATATATATATACGTGTACATACACATGTTTATATATATATATGTATATATACATATGTGTGTGTGTGTGACTATATATATATGTATATATATACATATATACATACATATACATATATCTATGTGTGTGTGTATACACATACATATGTATATATATACATAATATACTTGCAAATATATACATATATATATATATATATACAAAACTATGTATGAATGTATGTGGAGATATGTAAATAAATAGATGGATATTGATACAGTTATATATATATATATATACAAAACTATGTATGAATGTATGTGGAGATATGTAAATAAATAGATGGATATTGATACAGTTATAGATACAGATATATGTATGTATGTATGTATGTACAGACACACACGCACACACACACATATATATATATATACAGGCAGGCATATATATGCATACATATATATATGTATGTATATGTGTGTGTGTGTATGTATATGAATACTGCATATATGTATATATATGTATGTATGTATGCATACAGAAACACACACACATATATATATATGTGTGTGTGTGTATGTATATGTGCATAAATACTGCATATATGTATACATACAGAAACGCACACACACATATATGTATGTATATATGTATATATTTCTTATATCCGTATAGTGTATTAGTCCTTCTTCATTCATCTGACCATCACCCTGTATTCTTAACAAATAAATACGCTTCGAATTACTATATTCTTCCCGGACCTTTAAATGTATATTGATACTTTCTTGACCACAGGCAACAGGGTACATACCATGCAATCAGTATCCACGATGTTATGAAATTCAAAACGCCCTTGCAATTGAAACACTCCAAAGAATGAGAAGGTGAACCAACTGACCTTGCAGGCAATTTGAGACGTCGCGAGGGGTGGGGATGGGGGGAGAGTGGCCACATTCTGAGTATATAAACCAGTCGCAGTCGACAGCACAGCATCGGTCTCGTATCCTTCACCATGAAGGTAAAGGAACATCAATTATTTCTTGTGTTTGTAGGTGTCTGATTGGTGTCATGTCTAAGGCACAAAATCTGAAATATGTGCATCTCATTTTCATTTGATCTTTTAACCCTTACAGCTGGCACTGGCGATACTACTGTGTGTGGGCGCTGCCACACGGGTGGGAGCGCAGGATGGCTCCTATATGCTGGATTCACGAGGCGTGGAGGTGGAGCAGGGACTCCAGCCTTCCCCAGAACTCTTCCAGAACCACCAGGCCTTCTCCCAAGCCTTCAAAGAACGCTCTGAAGAGATGGCCCTGCAATACAGTCTTGGCCAAGTCGAATACAATGATCCAGTTAGTATCTCACTGCCTTGCTGATATGTATATTAGATTTTCTCTATACTCATAAGCCAGTAGTACTATGTATGTTTTTTTTCTTTTTTCTTTTTATCACTTGATGTTGTCTTCAGAACCCGGAGTACGCTTGGGCTTACGAGGTCGACGCCAAATCCACCGGGGACATGAAGTCTGCCCGAGAGGAACGTCGAGGTGACGTGGTGGTGGGTCAGTACTCGGTCATGGACCCCGACGGGTCTCTGCGTGTGGTCGACTACTCGGTGGCTCCCGGCACAGGCTTCCAGGCCACCGTCCGCAAGGAGTACACGGGCGAGGCTTTCCAGGGACAGGAGCAGAGACTGCAGGCTCAGGCCAAGCAGTACAGTGCTATCCAACAGGGAAGCAACTACCAACAGAACCGCAACCAGTACCAGCAGAACCGTGGCCAGTATTCACAGAACCGCAACCAGTACCAGGAAAACCGTGGCCAGTACTCACAGAACTACAATGAGTACCAACAGACCCGCAACCAATACCAACAGAACCGTGGCCAGTACTCACAGAACTACAATGAAAACCAACAGCAACGTAACCAGTACCAGTACTCACAAAATCGCAACCAGAATCTGGAAAACAGGAGACAATATTCTCAGAACCGCAATCAGTATCAACAAAACCGCAATCAGTACTCCCAGTACAGCAACGATTACCAACAGAACCGCTATCAGAACCAGCAGAACAACGAGTACCAGCTAAACCCTATTCAATATACTCGGAACCTCAACGAGTACCAACAGGACCGCAATCAGTACCAGAAGAATAGTTATCAATTTTCACAGAACCGTAATCAGTACTCCCAGAATTTAAATGCATACCAGAACCGCAATCAATACCAACAGAACCGCAACCAGTTCCAGCAGAACCGTAACCAGTTCCAGCAGAACCGCAACCAGTACCAACAGAACCGCAACCAGTTCCAGCAGAACCGCAACCAGTACCAGCAGAACCGCAACCAGGTCCAGCAGAACAGCAACCAGTTCCAGCAGAACTTCAATCAGTTCCAACAGAACCGCAACCAGTTCCAGCAGAACCGCAACCAGTACCAGCAGAACTATGACCAAAGCCTTTCCAGCCGCAACGACGTCAGGTACAACTTCCAGCGTTATGGAACCAACCGCTTCACTCAGAACCTGAACCGTCCTTCGCCCAGCCTCTACAGCCAGAATCCAAAACTACCTTCTGACCCGCTATGGATCCGCTTCTCAGAACCAGTACAGCAACCAGTACAACAACCGCGTCTACAACCAGTACAGCGCCCAAGTGAACAGGAACCAGCAGAACCAAGGTTACTCTCCTATCAGCGTGGTTCTCGCTTCCTCAAGGAACTAACACGCGAACCGAATTGCCAACGGACTTCCTAGACAACGAACCGTAAAAGGCGTTCACACATTGGGTCAAAATGGTTCTCTTGGTGTTGGGCTTCTTGCAAAATAAAGAACTTCTTTTGTACGATTTCTCTTTATTTCTGGTTATACGAGAGATAAGCTGCGCATACATACATGTACACACACACACACACACATATATATACATCTATAAATTATTTTCATAGAGGAAATATATATATATATATATTATTTATGTACACATATAGATATAATCATATATATATATAATATATATATATGTTATTTATGCATACATATAGATATATGTATATATATACCTCCTCCTGCACACATATATGGACATATATATATGCACATATGTATAAATAGGTATGTATGCGTGTGTGTATATATATATACACCTACCTATATACATAGACAAGCATACAGTAGCGTGTACACGAAGATGAAAATGAAAATGAAAACAGCCACAAAACTGTAAATGTAATTCTATTTCTTGTGTGTATGTATATATATGTATATATATATATATATTTGTATATATATATATATATATATGTTAATGTCCAGGACAGGGAGCTTGTTGTCAACCTCCCATTCCACCTTGCAATGGATGGAAAGAGAGAGAGAGTTCAGTTGCGTCAGGAAATCCGAGAGCAGGGCAGGGTCATGAGGCCAGAGGAAGAAAATCAAAGTCGATGTATTCCATGAACGGTTGCCTGGACTGGAGGAGAACTCGTGGCAACACCGAACGTTTGGGAGTAGAAGCGAACCTCAAAGGAAAAGCGATATATATTTATGTATATATATGTGTGTATGTGCAAACACACACACATGTATATACTTATGTGTGTTTGCGTGTGTTTGTGTATGCATGCATGTATATATACATATAGACACGCGCGCGTACTCACACACACACATACATATATATGTACATGTTTATATATATATATATATATCATATATACATATATGTACATATATTATATACATATATGTATATATATATATATATATATATATATATATATATATATATATATATTATACACACACACACACACACACGGATATATATACCTCTTGGACGATGAAGTACATGTTTGGGAGTAGAAGCGAACCTCAAAGGAAAAGCGATATATATTTATGTATATATATATGTGTGTATGTGCAAATACACACACACACACATGTATATACGTATGTGTGCTTGCGTTTGTTTGTGTGTGCATGCATGTATATATACATATAGACACGCGCGCGTACTCACACATACACATACATATATATGCACATGTTTATATATATATATCATATATATACATATATGTATATACATTATATACATATATGTATATATATATATATATATATATATATATATATATATATATTATACACATACACACACACACACACGGATATATATACCTCTTGGACGATGAAGTACAGAGATACCATTTACCTTTTATCCATCATGTCATGACCTGGAGTTTGTAACCATATATAGGGGCATACATAGATATGAATATATATTTCTTAACTCTAATCAAATATAGAAGAAAATCTGTACGTAAATGGTGACTGACCCAAAATCCAAATCAAAACATCTTGCCACTGATCTCAATCTCTACAAGTTTATCAGAAGCGCGACCGTAGTTAAACAGAGGAGGTTATTGCCGCTTCCGAGACGGCGTTGTCAGGTGAGCAGTGAAGGAGTTCTGGTGCTCATCGGTTCTGTACACCCGTTCAGGATTCACGCTAAAAAAAATGGGAACAAAACGATGAAGGGAAGAGCAAGAAAACACGAATATGCAGAAGGCCCTGGAGAAGCAACATAGCGAAAAGGTCCTCGGCAAAGTTGTGTTTTCTTGTTCTTTCCTTCATTCTTTGGTTTACTGTGCACCCGTGAGTCACACAATATCCGATTCGACTATGGATGAAAATGAAACTGTTATAAATAGGTCTTTGGATTTAGATAAATAATACATATAATAATTTAATTCCTTGGCCGGTACTATCATAGAAACGTGAGGCAGAATGGGACAGAAAATACAATAAAAATGTCTACTGGAAAAGAAACTGCCTAGTACCATTAACAACGCCAACTAAACAGTCATAGAAACACCGGCCTTCACACTGTGCTGAAGAGTAAATGAACTATACTGAGGTAAAATAAATAAGCAGGTTACACTCAAGAAACATACCGATTACTTTAAAACAGATTTTTAGTCCAAACTAACACCCAAATACCAGTCAAGCAGGATAAAACTAAAACAAGAAGACCAACAAACTTCAAGCACAACAGACCACGAGAACCGTTACGTGTTGTCATGAAAGGGATAGATGGAAGTATCACAAAATAATCGTCAGCTCGGAAGCAATGGGTTCCAGTTAGTGTATTTTGATCAGAAATCTTTAAAATGTATTTGCTTTTTCAAAACTGAAAGAGGATACAACCTGTCATTTATCCAATGTTCATGGGTGCTCGAGATATCTTTGGTGTTGTGAAAGAACTGACTGTTGGAATTTTGAAATGGAAGAACTGCAACCGTGGTTTCGACTGTTTGACATTCATCCAAGACGATGGCCATCTCTGAATAGTACATCACATTCACATAAAACACACTCATATATGCTCACTCGTGTGTGTGTGTATATATGTGTACGACATATCGCCTTGATAAGTCAAACGTAGGTGTAGGGGAAGTCACCGCCGTGGTAAAAGTGTCAGCTCGCCGAAGAGACTGCCAAATAACCTCTCAAATAATGAATTGAATGAAGCCGATTTCCTGCAGTGGAATAAATGGCTGTTGAAAAAAAAAAATATATATATATTGCGCGCGTGTGTGTATGTATTTATATACATATGTATGTATGTATATACATGTGTGTGTATATTTGTGTGTGTGTGTGTGGACACACATCATATATATATATAAATATATATATGCATAGACACATGTAAGTTTATGTATTTGAACACACACATATGCATATATATGTGTGTATATATGTATATATGTGTATATATGTATATGTATGTTTATATTTATGCATATATATATATATATGTATATGTCATGTTTATGTATATATACATATATGTTGCTATGGGTACTATGAAAGCATGGGTCTGGAAACGTTTTCAGCTTGCTTAGATCCCTTTATTTTTTAGATTATATTCTGAAACTTGCATGACTTGAGTGACACATTTGAAAGAAATTGGTGTCTGTTTCAGTTGGAGCGACGGAAGTTCTCTACTTAGAATTATTAATATCGGATAATACCTCTAATGCTACCGGTACGGAAAACCACATGGGATTTTTTTCAAAACATAACAGTAACGATATGTAAATTTTCTGTCTTGGTATTTCGATATTAGTCGCTCCTCACTCATCTTATCATAAACATACTTTTAACAAGCAGCGTTTTAACAATCAGTTATCCCTCATGGTTAAATGAAATCTGAATTGTGATCGATGTTCTTCAAGGAGCAATGTCCTTGCTATGAAAACAGACGATTGGGATGAGGATGACAGACTGACCGACCTTGCGGGATATCCGAGACGTCGACGTCACGCATCAGCCTCGTATACCTCACCATGAAGGTAAAGAGTAGAAAGATATTTTTTCCTTGTCTATGTTTTGTATTACTTATATTTCAGTGAATTTCCTATTCTTTAATCTCTTGCAGCTGGCATTAGCGATATTACTGTGTGTGGGCGCGGCCGTAAGAGTGGGAGCGCAGGATGGCTCCTACATGCTGGATTCACGAGGCGTGGAGGTGGAGCAGGGACTCCAGCCTTCCCCAGAACTCTTCCAGAACCACCAGGCCTTCTCCCAAGCCTTCAAAGAACGCTCAGAAGAGATGGCCCTGCAATACAGTCTTGGCCAAGTCGATTACAATGATCCAGTTAGTATCTCACTGCTTTGTTAATATGTATATTAAATTAGCTCTGCTATATTCATGAAACAGTAGCAGTCTGTATACTTATCATTTCATGTTGTATGCAGAACCCGGAATACGCTTGGGCTTACGAGGTCGACGCCAAATCCACCGGGGACATGAAGTCTGCCCGAGAGGAACGTCGAGGTGACGTGGTGGTGGGTCAGTACTCGGTCATGGACCCCGACGGGTCTCTGCGTGTGGTCGACTACTCGGTGGCTCCCGGCACAGGCTTCCAGGCCACCGTCCGCAAGGAGTACACGGGCGAGGCTTTCCAGGGACAGGAGCAGAGACTGCAGGCTCAGGCCAAGCAGTACAGTGCTATCCAACAGGGAAGCAACTACCAACAGAACCGCAACCAGTACCAGCAGAACCGTGGCCAGTATTCACAGAACCGCAACCAGTACCAGGAAAACCGTGGCCAGTACTCACAGAACTACAATGAGTACCAACAGACCCGCAACCAATACCAACAGAACCGTGGCCAGTACTCACAGAACTACAATGAAAACCAACAGCAACGTAACCAGTACCAGTACTCACAAAATCGCAACCAGAATCTGGAAAACAGGAGACAATATTCTCAGAACCGCAATCAGTATCAACAAAACCGCAATCAGTACTCCCAGTACAGCAACGATTACCAACATAACCGCTATCAGAACCAGCAGAACAACGAGTACCAGCTAAACCCTATTCAATATACTCGGAACCTCAACGAGTACCAACAGGACCGCAATCAGTACCAGAAGAATAGTTATCAATTTTCACAGAACCGTAATCAATACTCCCAGAATTTAAATGCATACCAGAACCGCAATCAATACCAACAGAACCGCAACCAGTTCCAGCAGAACCGCAACCAGTTCCAGCAGAACCGCAACCAGTACCAACAGAACCGCAACCAGTTCCAGCAGAACCGCAACCAGTACCAGCAGAACCGCAACCAGGTCCAGCAGAACAGCAACCAGTTCCAGCAGAACTTCAATCAGTTCCAACAGAACCGCAACCAGTTCCAGCAGAACCGCAACCAGTACCAGCAGAACTATGACCAAAGCCT